GTGTGTATCTAATGCAGAAGCTTAAGTTAGATAATTACTTCACACATATGAAGAAAATTAGCAAAAGCGAAAACGTGTGTTAATTTTTCAACAATATCCCTCGCTTTAGTCATTTATATTGGAAACTACCCATATAAAATATGTACAATTAATCAAAGTTTTTTTAAATATTGCATATTGCCTAAGAAAGAAAGAAAAAAAAATGTCGCATAGATATGCGAGACCTGGAAGAAGTTGAAATTTTGTATTTATGACTAAGAAGATGGATCCGAATCCTCTCCCTACATTCTCTCGATACCTCTTTCCCTACTCCATATTTGCCGTCCAAATCCCACTTACTTGATCCAACAGTTGTCCCACTTTGCTAGCTATGAAATTGGTGGTTTCAACTTTCCTTTCTAATCAAGGTTAAAATACGTATAACTCCCCTTATCTTTAAAAATTTAAAATTAACTCTCTTAACCTTTAATTTTATTTTTCAAAATCCGTTATTGTTAATTATGCTATTTCTTGATGAGGGTTAAAATGTCATTCAACTATAAAATATTATTAAACAAAAATATTATATTATATAATTATTTATAATAATTTTTTTATATTTTTGAATAGTTGAGGCATTGATAATAACCAAAAAAATGTTATTATCACCATATAAAATTTAAAATATTTACTTTTTTGTTGGTTTTTTCTATTTTTTTTGTTATCAATGGTGCATAAATTTCTATTATTAAAAGATAAATTAATCTAATATGATAATATTTAAAATTTTAAATATTTTATCCATGTGCATTGCATTAATTTAACATGAAAATATAAATAAAAATTTATCTTTTAAAATAATAAAATCATGCACCATTGATAACAAAAAGATATGGATAAAACTAATATAAACATAAATATTCAAAATTTTATATAGTGATGATAACATTTTTTTTTGTTATCAATGCCTTAACTATCTAAAAAATATAACAAATTTATTATAAATAGTTCTACAATATAATATTTTTGTTTAATAATATTTTTTAGTTTAATAACATTTTAACTCTCATAAAAAAATAACATAATTAACAATAGGCGCTTTTGAAAAATAAAATTAAAAGTTAAAGGGGGTTAATTTTAAATTTATAAAAGTAAGGAGAGTTATATGCAACTGTCTCAATATTCAGATAAGTTATATGCATTTTAGCCTTCTATCAATTGCCCATCATTAGAAGCCTTCGATTATGTTAATATCAGTTGATTATTAATTTTTGGTGAGATAAAAGTCTAGTTGGCTTCTTATTATTCTATCATATCATATACAATGAATGCAGGTGGGTTCTTATTATTTATTTATTTTGATGATAACAGGTAGCATTAAGATGGATTTCTTATGAGTCCTAAAAATTAAATCAATGATAATTAGATTCTCAATTTTTAAAAATAAATTATAAATATTAATTTAAATATTTGTAAAAAATATATTTAAAATTTAAATTCATTTTTTACGGATTTCAAAATTTGAAATTATTTAAATAAATACTTTGTGTCAACAAAGTGGAAGAACCGTTGGATCAAGGAAGTGGGATTTGGATGATAGATACGAGGCAGGAAGAGGTATGGAGAGAATTTAGAGATGTATGGGGAAGTTATATTCATTTTTGATTTTCCTGCGTCACATTGAATTCAAATGCTAATTGTTGGAATTCTGGCCCAAAAAAAAAAAAAATGCCATTGTTGGAATTGATAACCACTCATTAAATAATCAACTTTGAAAAAAATTTAAATTGTTATTTTTTATCTTAATAAAGGTATTCTTTTCGTTAAAAAATATAAGGCATTTTTAATTTAATATCACTTTAATAAAGTAATTATTTATTTTTAAATTAAACCATATCTTGAAAAAGGTATTCCCTCTTTTTATATCTACCCATATTTAATAAGGTTTTTTACCTTAAAATAAATATAAAATAATTTATTTGACAGGAGCAGTTTTTTAAAAAAGATAATAATTACACTTTAAAAGATTAACAATGTCTTATATTTTTCAACATTTAATTTTTCAAAAAATATTTTATATTTTTTTAATGTGGGGAGTATATAAAATTTCTCACTAAATAAAATATACTTAACAATAAAATGTCGATTATTATTTTAAGTTACATACGATAAATTATTTTAAATATAATTATCACAGAGTGTATGGTCACGTGATAAGATGGGCTATAAAGATTAAAGAGTAAAGACATGAACTAAACAATTAAGTTTTCAACAGAGCAAAAGAAAAGGAATGCAAGTTCCGGACAAAACAAGAAATGAAAGTAAATATATAACTAGATTTGAAAATGCATCTTTTTATGATGTAACTTTTGTGGCGAGATAGTGTGTTTGACCTGTAAACCAAAGGGTTAATATATAAATGCATGAATTGGTCTGGAAGAAAAAGAAAAGGCAGAGGCTTTAAAAGCTTTAAACGTGCTTTGCTAGGGTTTGAAAAGAAAAGAAAAAGGGAAAGTTTTTGAAAGCAGAACTAATTTTTCGTGCATGGAATTAGCTGAAAAGCTCTCTTGTTTTTGCTACCCTTGACTGTCACAGTAGTGTTAGATTTTCAAACCCCTGGCTGCTTTTTTTGATGCCGTTTGGGACCAAATAACATTATAAATCCTCATGATTAAAGATATTTGCTGCTCTGCTTTCAACAACATCCCTCTTTACGCTGGTCTTGTCTTTGTTACGCTCGCATGCAACCAGCAAACTCAAAAAGAAAGTTTTTTAATAAAAAAGTAATTAATTTAATTATAAGAAACACGATTGGTTTATTAATTATTTTTACCACACTTGATCAATTTATTACTCCATTATATTGGCATAATTATGATATAGCCTTATAAGGTGAATCACTTATGACAGGCATTTTCATTTATAGGGTGGAGAGACGGGTAGCTGAATACAAGGAAACATAATTACAGCTGGGTGTGGATTGTGACATTTATATTAATCAAGTTCACGCGTAACAATATGGTAAAATTTCTGAACGTCGAGCAAGATAGAGAACTAGAAAATCTTTATTTTGAATCAAGCAACAAAGATTAGCTTTCAAAGGAACTCTCTCTAGTTCTTTGTATATGAATGATTTGTACATCCTTGTTCTGATTAATGCTTAACTGAATTGGGCGTGTAGCTAAAAAAACAACAACAACAATTAATATGATGCCAATCAATTCAAGTAAAGGTGCGAAAAAGGCACTGAAAAACATTTCAGCTATTGTATTGGCTCAAGGGTTATCTGTAATCGAACACCTAAACTCAGAGGTCATGAACAAAAAAATTTGTTGAACCCACAGTCAAAGCACTAGTTCGATTGCTTGCCATTTCAACTGGCCGTGTTGACCTGGTTTTCAGTATATGTATATATATATATATATATTATGAAACAAAAGTGGTTCATAATATAAGATTCAAAAGAATGCTTTAATTTGAATGCTAACTAGTTTAGAATGATTTAAAGCTGCAGGAATATAATACATGCATCATGAGAAGTATAGCTAGTGCTAATAATGGAGCTGGTTGGGGAATATGAATAAAGCAAACTGTTGAAAGAAGGAGGGATATATGGATGCATTATAATTGCAAGTGCATGTGTGTGAGTGCAATGAGGAAGGGACCCAAATTACGAAGGGGGGAATCTTATGCAAAGAATAGTGATCGAGTAGCAGTGATCAGTGACAACAGATTTAGGCTAAAATCCTCTCTTCCATCGCCAATAAGTTACGTTGGACCCCAAAACGACATGATTGAAGGTGGGAGGTACTTGTGAGAGCATCAACACAAAAGCGCATATACGAAGTAACATAAAGCTTAGACTAAAGTGAACGAACAAAGAATCGTGTTAAAAGCTATATCATGGAGTGTAGCAGCAGTCACTAATTAGTGAGACTTATATATATATATATATATATATATAGCCTGACTACTTTTGACCCGTGAACTATTATTGCCGTTTAACTTATCCCCCCGCTGGTCATTTTGCACGCAGCCATGAAAAGTGCGAAATAGTTTTATTTTGTTAAAGTTTCGGTATCCTATGTGCCACCAAGTATTGCAGAACCAATTAACTGTGGCGTTCCTGGACTCCTTGATTTCAAATCTGGATCTAGGTTTTCCTGATTAAGGCCAAGTGATTGAGCACCCTCCTATGTTGCTGATCATTGATTTTTCCCCCTTAATTAATTTGTTTTCTTAATGTGTACAGAATGACACTTTTTTTTGGCCAAAGTTATAAGCAATGATATGTTGCAATGATCTCGCGCACATATTTGTCTAGTCTCTACGGTATCTAATGGTTTTCAGTTATATATAACTAGTCAGAATTAAACCTTTCGACACACACAAAGCTCCGGTTCTAACATAGAAGGTAATTAAAAACTAGTGGTTCCATCTTCCATGTTTAATTTAATTAACTCCTAAATGAGGAAAGCCAAAAAAATAGAAAAAAAGTGACTCCGCAAGCAAGCAACGCATACGACCGCACATATATATTTCTGCGTGCGAGTATAATATCCTTATTTAACCAAAAATGTATAACTGTTTCTTTCAAGACTTGAAATTTCTCCAAGGATGGAATGGTAATTCATCCTTTGTTCTGTATTCTGAGCAGTATACCGATCGATTATTATTTAAAATTTTCCAACAACACTAATATTTTGTTTGATGATAAACTGCGAAATATATGCCTCTACGTAATAATTAAGTAGAGAGCAAATAGAATCAGTATAGTTATAGCGTATGCAGCAGCGATGGGTTCACTGTAGTGACCCAATGTGGTCCCTCTACAGACCGTTGTTGAGAATATGGGCAGACCATATTTACACGTAATTATAGGTCATTACTCGTTATTCGTTGGACCCCTCAGGGTGTGAAAACTGAAATATCACACGTACTTGAAACGATAAATAAACATGAGAAGCTCACGCCTTTACCAACTTAATCAGAGTAATGAGGGATATTTGGAAGCTCACATATAAACTTCAAAAGCATACATAAACACTGATATTAGATTGATAACACTAGAAGTACATGGCCAAAGCTAGCTGCTGAGTCATGCCAGAAATACTCAACGCCAACCAAACTCAAAATGAGAGATAATTCTTCTTCAAAAGCTTCTTCCTAGCTAGAAAATAGAAATTTTAAGAGGGAAAAATTAAATAGCCAGAGTGACATATAGGGTGGGGACCCCAAAAAAAAAAAAAAAAAAGGTAGCTATCGCTGACAGGATAGCCTTTCATCAATTCTCTTCCTCTTGGACACAGCCAGCCTAAAAATTATATAAAGCCACATGTGTTAATTTATGTACAGAATACGAAGAAATATTACTCAATTATATAAATGTCATGAACATATGAAAAAACATATATACCATGTCAGATATTTCTATGATGAATATGGATTCCTGCCGCTGCTAGAGTCCCGAGGTGCATTGCACCGATAACACTCCATTCTATTAGCGAAGTTGTGCTCGTTGCATCCGGACCTGTCCATAAGTTAATTTAAACGCTTCTCTAAGAATCTTATAAAACCATTTTTTTTTTCATTTACTGTTATATTCAGGACTATTTATTTACTTTTCAGTATACTTTTAAAAAATATCTTTTGGCATTCTTAACTTCATGACGACAATTTTGTGTCTACTTAATTGTATCACTGGTGCTGCTATCATTATACGTTGCTGAATGAGCCGTGTTAATTAATTTAAACAATCTAGAATCTGGCAATTGTACAAAAAGAGAGAATACTGCTAGAGCAAGGGAATCTGTCAATTATAAAGTAAGGACTCAGATAGAATTCATATCATATAGTTTCAGAATTCAACCCGAGCCTTTAAAGTAACTAAAGCTTTTTCCTAGTGGGACTTTACGTTAAAAAGTCTCACCTGCTGCATATCCAGTCACCGGATTTCCAGCCAGGGCGGCTGGAGCTGGTACCGTAGCCATAGCCCCTCATTCTGGGGATGTCGGCGTCGTAACTACCGCCGGCGGCGGAGGAGTCATCCTTGAGAGCACCGCACTTGAAGCAGCTGGAGCGGCTGGCGAAGTTGTGGGCTCCACAGTTGGCAAGGTTACAGTACCAGTCACCTGGACGAACATCTGGTCCGGTCGTGAAGCCTCTGCCACCAAAGCCGCCGTATTCGCCTCCGCTCCTTCCTTCTCCGCATCGCTGGCACGACTCTCTCCTCTGAAAGTTGAGGTGGTTGCATGTCCTGCAGTTCCAATCTCCAGGTCTGCTCATTTTCAACCCTCCGTGCTAGCCTTCACTGTTCATTTCCATAAAGCCCACGCATGTATCAGTATCAGCATTGCAGTAGATGTATATATATCAAGTATGGGAAACTAGTTAATGCCAGCCAGAAAGGATATAATGTAAAACAAAACAAGATTATATATAAGGACGAGTGCTCACCAAGAGCAGCTTCGATGGAGTTGAACAAGATATATTGTGTGTTGTGATTGTTGGTGATGGGCTTGAGGTGCCTTATATACTGGCATTAAGGCCTCGAAAAATGAGTGCGAGTTTTTATTTCTTTTATTTTTCTTCCTTGAAACATGATATCATCAAAAACTAAAATTAGGAAAAGGGAAAAAGAGATTTTTGAAATGCGACTTTATACAACACCAAAATATATAATTAATAAATTAAAAGCTATTTTTGGTTACAGCAGCATCTTTTAGGGTTTTTGGGAGTGGCTTAGTACAAAGTGCACGTACACATCAGAGCCCTCTTTCATGGTTCAGAATAAAGCCAAATGTTTGTGTGTGAGTGTGTGTGTGTGGGGATTAATAGTTGGCTTGTGAAGTTGTAACAAATCCATCAGCTGAGATATCTTTGAAGTCGTCCAAAGAAAAGGAGCATGCTTGCTTAAATCTCTCACAGCATGCACGTAAAAAATTATGGGGAAAATGGAGTTGAATTGTTCAACTTTGTCAAGCTGCGCCTTTTGTGTTTACTGCATAAAGCAGATTAGCATGCATCGTAATCTCTAAATAAATCTTTGTAGCGCATAAGTGATAACAAAAACAGGTCTTTGACTGTGGGTGGATGTTGTTTGACGGAGGAAAAAGAAGCACAAGACAAAATGGTCCTTACCACCGCATGATCTAAGTGCTTCCTTTTTTGTTTTTATACCATCCAGGATTGGATAAGGAGGAACACAGTTCATAGTTTATCGCCAGACAAAATGAATATTCCTCACACTTCAAGGAAAAACCTTAAGAGAGGATCGACCCCACTGTCCCCCCTTGTATATATTCGCATTCAAAGATTCAAATATATATATATATATATATATGTTACTGAGAAGGGGCCATGTCTCACTTTCACTAATACTTTCAGAATGGCCAGGAGTAACAAGGGAAGTCAGAAAACTATAAATGATAAAAATAGGTGTTGCTTTTCAATTTTGAATATTCCTCTTTTGTACTTGGGACTCAATTATAAGTCAATGTTCTAATAACACAGCATCAACCAACAGCTGATCTTCTTCAATTTTTCATATCATCTCTTAATTATCGAATCCGTTAAACACCAGGAATGAAGAAAAGTTTAACATAATGTGACTTAATTAAAAGCGTCCCAATTCCATGAGTTTTTGACATGTAAATACCAAGGTTTTTAAGAAGCATTTGAATTAGCCATGGATGGGACATGTCAAGAATGAATAGAAATTAATTATGTTTCACGATGCCCGATATTATGTTGTCAGAGATTGTACATAGAGGAATAGCTCACAGTGAATGATTACTGAATTACGGTTTAGTGCAAGAGAAGGATTCCCATTGATAGGCAAATACTGATTGGTATTGGAATGGTTCAAAACTCAAAGAAAGGAGCAAAAATTGGTAGAGTTTCGATAAAGAAAGTCGAAGTTGATGGTGATGGAAAAGAGAAGTGTTCGAGGTTCAATTTTTGACCATCCTTTCTTTTCCTTTTCTCCTTCATTACTGATATGGCTTTTTCGCTGTCATTTTCTTTTCCACCCTCCTCATTAACGCTTACTATCTTTCTCTTTCTTTCTCCCTTTCCCTCCTATACGTTCACCAGTGTGATAAAGAGGGAAAGATGGAGAAGAAAGAGAGAAAACATACAAAGAAGAACGCAAAAGAGGAAAAAGGAAAAACAAGAAACTTAAAAACTGAGAGATATCACCCACCATTTTCCTCGGGGAATGGTAAAGAAAGGCTGTGGCAAGCTGTGAAAAAGCAAAAAGAAAGAGGAGGAAGAGTACTGATTCGATTCTCTCATTGGGAAATGCTTCCATGCATATGATCAAACCCATGTACGCCTAACGTTTACATATGCTTTCTCGTTTCATCTTTATCTTTTCGTTATATTACTATTATATTATCCCCTCAACTGATGAAACGATTCTCGTCCATTAAACAAGTTCGCACACTCCTTAAAATCCTAACCTACACATGTATTCACTTTCTTGCGTTTTACTTTTACCATCACTTACGTCTACACGTGCATGCATGGACATGTACTCCCAGTTTTTATTATATTTAATTAAAACTAATACTCACTTTAATTTAAGAAACTGCACCTAATATTACTCCACGTCATTCTTCATTATTTCTTCATCCCAACGATAGCCTCAATGATCTAGTTTAATTTCACGAACCTGCAAAATTTATTGTAACAGAAAAGGTCGTAATTGTTGTTGTTTAATAATTTTCAGTCTTTGTCCTGTGGTGTAACAAAATACTAGCCAATTTTAGTGCATCTGCTAAATTGTACATTTCACGTAATTCGTGTCCAGGTTGCATGCACGTGAGGTGGTAGAAATTATGGGAGTGACGCCATCACAATGATTAAAGTTTTCTCTTCTCAGTTACCAAAAAACAAAGTTTTTTTCTTTTCTTTTACTTTTTAGACCTCCAATATCTTTTACAATATGCTCTGGGAGTCCTCAAATGTCCATCCATTTTGTTGATTTTGCAGTGTTCCGCCCAAATCGCTTAATTATCTTCTGTGCACAAAGCTTCGAAGAAAATCCTCTCCTCAAAAGCCTGCCGCATATTCAACGATAAAATAGAAAACTATGGAATTTTAAGGGTTAAAATTTATTATGAATTATGGTAAAAATCGTATCTAGCAATATATATTCCATTTTTGTAATTTTGTGGCTGTATAGATAGAAGTTAATTGATATTCTATATAAAAAAAAGAGATAAATTAAAGTTAATATTCCGTCGCGTCATTGACTATTCGTTATGTTCATTTACCTTGTCCTGTATTTTTTTTAATGAACATATGTATAATTTAGTCCCTCGAGTTAAATCAAAAATTTCAAGTGAAAATTATGCATGTACCAAACAATGAATAAGAATATGTTTTTTAAGAATTAAATTTTGATGCACTTCCCTATATGTTATACTTTGCAAGAGAGAAAAGTAGGAAAAGGAGAAAAGTGGGGAGAAAATGAATGACATTTTTCCTTACTTGGTTAACGAGAGGAAATTGAAAAAAAAAAAACATGTTAGACCCGTGTGCGTTTATCGTTAACTCTTCTCTTCAAATATAAGAAGATGAAAAAAAAAAAAGAACTCAACTTTCAAATTTCCAACCTGCCTCTCTCTTCATTGTGAATGAATTTTCAAATTTGACAAAATAATTCGTTTGAATAAAATAAATTACAATTACATTTTTATTCAATTTGTAACATATAATAAACAATTGTATAATAATAAGGTTATTACAGTCCACATGAAATTAATTTTTTTTTTTGCTTAGCCAAACATAGAGGAAGAAATTAGGGACTGTTTGAAATTATTTTTATTTTATTGTTTTGAAAAATGATATTTTATAAAATATATTCTGAGAATAAAAAAATAATAAAAATAAGTATTTTTTTATTTTTTTTCTTGTTCTGTTGAATAATAATCTCAGAATAAGAGTTATTTTTATTTTTCTATTCTCTAGAATATTATTTTATTTTTTATTCTCTAGAATACTTTTTAAAAATGTGTTACTAAATTTTTTTATCCTTTTGTTCTGAAAAATAAAAAATTGTTTATAGATCAAGCTGCCAAACAGGCCCTACATTCCTCCACTTTTCTTTTCTCTCATCTCATTTTTTTTAATATATTTTCCTTTTTGAGCCAAGGCATGTATCTTTATTATTATATTATTCAATCAAAGCACAAGAATGAAAAATGCATGATTCGATTCAGAGGCCATATTGTTATATGGGAAATCAGATACTTTGTGCATTTTAATTTTAAGTTTGATTCAAAAACTTGATAAAAAAAAAAAATTCAGATGCTTGTTTTTCCCAATGTTTAACCCTAATTTGATTGTGGGCCATTTCTCATTAGTATCAAAGCCCAAGCCCATAATTATAGTTACCCTCTCCATCTATGTTCGGGCTAAAATACAAATGGGCCATCCATCGTACCCATTTCTCACTCGAAAAAAATCATATTCATTTTCTGTGAATACGATGATTGAGAAGATCGAGGCGGAGAAGGTCCGGCCCACATCAAAGAAGAAGGCCAGTGACGCCGCTTCCCGCTCTCAATTCAAACCCCGCCCTTGAACTTTCGGCTCTCACGCTCTTCCCCCGAATGGTAAAACTTAAAAAAAAAAAAAAATTGGCATTTCTCGGCAGTTTCAATCTCTGGAAGGCACAACGCACAAGAGCAAAAAGATGCAGAAAGCTGAGTCTAGGGTTGACAAGGGACCTTGATGATCATGGATACTCCTGATGCTACAAAGAAAACCTCCATTTCCATCTCCACTGATGCTGCTGCTGTTTCTTCTGAATCTCCTCCTGTTCAAGTAAATTAACCTTCTTTTTCTTCACTTCTCCTATACTCCCTGCACTCGACTCATTTATTTTTTGACGATGTTATTTTTGTTTATTTTTGGGCCATAGATCGCTTTGAGATTATTGTCTTTTTTCCACATTTAGATATATTTATTAATCTTGTTAAATTGTCGGTTAATTGGTGTGGATTTAAGTGCTGCACTCTAGTTAGTCATCTTAGTTTAGCTAGGACTCAATGCTGCACATGTGCTTGCTCAAACCACAGACAATCGAACATTAATATTTTGTAGCTGCACTGATTAATCTACCTGTCTAGACACGTCTAAAGAATCACTTATAAACTAGTTGTTTGTCAAGACCAATCTTATTTGCGAAATGACGTTGGTGAATTTCTCATGTGCTTGGTATTTTAAATTCCAGGAGTCCCCTTTTTTCAGCTTTGTAAACAATTTATCTCCAATAAAGTCTGTCAAGGCTTCTCGTGTGGCTCAAGATTTCCTTGGACTTAATTCTCCCCCTGTCGTCTTCACATCACCTCGTATTAATCCTCATCGTGGATCAAAGTTCTTGGAGAGGTATACTGACTTAATTGTAAATTCGTGGCACACCTTTTTTCCAATGCGTTTGCACTGGTTGTTTGTTGACAAACTTTGTCAATATTAGGCCTCAATGCTCTCAATCAGCCACTGTAGAAATTTCTCATAGTGTCAATGGAGGCAGGAGCCTTGTTGATAATCCCGTTGATTCTGACAAACCTACTTCTTTACCGCCGGGATTTATAGCTGATGGCAAGAATGATTCAAATGCTCAACACTGCAGCCCTTCACTGTGTGTGGAATCTGTAGATGAATATTTAGCTGATCCTTCAGATATTGATCACTTGTCTTCGGGGCATTCAGTCAACCCGGATGTGAAACAATCTAATGAACATGTTGAATCATCACTAAATGACTTTACTCACTCAAAGAAAGCCATATCAAAAGTTGATGACAAAAAGGGCCCCGGTGACAAGATGAACGAACCTTCACTTTTGTTGGGGGAGTCTGAAGCCAGTTATCAAGAAAAGCCAAGATTAGTTGATGAAGCAGAGAAAGTAGAAGGGGAGAAAGCTGTTGAATGGCCTTCTCAAGAATGCGCAAAGTCAGAGTCCATTTTATCTGTTGACCGTGTTTTGGAGAAACGACGTTCTGATGATTCAATTGTCCTGGTAACGATCCAATGCTGTCGTTTATATTTGACGTAGTACTTACAGGACAGTCAGTAAAATATGTAACTCTGTTAACTAGCTTTTTTCTTTTTTGGGGGGGGGGTATTTATTGCTTTGCTAAATTTCGAGGTTCAGTGCACAGGAAATGAAATGCAGGATTGTTGTGATTGTACCTCTCAGTCGATGCTTGAGCCTTTGCTGGATGTAAAAGAAAGTGAAGATGGTGGCGAGATGGAGACAACCTCTTGCGTAAGCGTACAGAACATGTCACAGGACAGCACCAATGTATAGATCATCAGACTTGGTTTTTGTCTGGTTTGCGTTTTTACATTTTGGTCTTCTGATTTTGTTCATGTAGTACCATCCAACTCTGTCTTATTTTTCATGTTATTAAATTCGTTTAATCTGAATATGTTATTTCATGGTGAATAATTGTAAACTTGACAATTTTTATTCTTTTTTCCTCCCGTCATTTTGGATTTGCTCACGTCAATCTCAATCAAGAGAACGATAATCTGCTTTGCTGACTGTGGCATTTTATTAGTTCTTATGCAGCCTGGCACGAAACATAGCAGAATGTTTTTAAAAAAGGAACTTTGATGAAATAATATACAAATAGAAAATTTCATTTCAGTCAATCATGAGAGGATTTCAAATTTTTAGACCTAATTATGTATCACATCATGGTTATGGGGATCTCTTCGATTAAGGTAACAGGACCTTCATTTACGGAATTATCTTGTGTCACTGTTTAATACGTAGTTTTCTTGTTTAAAGATTTGAATTAGGTACGATGAAAACAAGTGTGGCATTATCTGCTTGTTGAATGACCAATATTTAATCGAATTTTTATAGGAAAATTGATGACAACATGTTTTTCAGGCATTTATCTTGTTTGCTATTTAATCCATTTAGATTGTTCTTGTGCACTATGTTAACTACATATAATCAATGCAGGCCAGCCAAAAGCACCGGGGCCTGCGTAGACGTTGCCTTCAGTTTGGGGAGGCTACGTCAAGTGCTTTTGGAAATTTGAACAGCTCCCCGCTTCAAGCCCATGTTCCCGAAGATTTAATACCCTCAGCTAACTCCCCAGATTCTAAAGATTTAGAAGCTTCTCATGTTGCACTAAATGATACTGCAGGTGAAAAGAGAATGTTCACGAAGTCCAAACCTATCACTACCACATTTTCTCATCGGCGTAGTGAAATCTTCCCTGCCAAAAGTTCTAAGCCATCAGGCATTGGGTTACACCTAAATAGCATTGTAAATGCTATGCCCCATGGCCGTGCTGCATTTACAGGTATGAGGTTAGCAGAGGGCTGTTCAGGTTTACAAGGCGGGAAGTCAGCTACTTCACTGAGCTGCCGCAATGCTGAGGACTTAAAGACGGGCTTAATTTCATCAAACATGGATGAGCAACTATCGATTGGCAATGAACGTGAGAGGCACGAAAGGAATGCTTCAATAACTGCGGATCCTCTCGCCTCCGATTCCCCGAGCTCTATAGAGCAAGCAAATTTGTCAATACACGTCGAGCATCCATCAAGTGTCCAAGATGAGAGACAATTAAGCTCTCTAGGTGATGGAAATTTTGAAGATTCCAATCAAACGAGCCCCAAAAAGAAAAAGTTAGTTCTTTTATTTTTCCTTCTTTATGATTTTTCGTTCTTTGTGTATTTGGCGGGATCACCAAATGCTGCATTGTTCTTCAGGAAGAGAACCTCAAACCCCACTGATGATGATGGTTGTAAAAGGTGCAACTGTAAGAAGAGTAAATGTTTAAAACTGTAAGTTAATTCTTATATTTTCCGCTGTCACTTTTTTATGGTATGTAGTATGTATTTTGATCTATTTGTTTGCAGTTACTGTGATTGTTTTGCAGCCGGATTATTTTGTGCTGAGTCTTGTGCTTGCCAAGACTGCTTTAATAGACCAGAACATGGGGATTTGGTTCTTGAGACAAGGCAGCAAATAGAAACCCGTAACCCACTTGCATTTGCCCCCAAGATTGTGCAGCATGTTGCTGATTTGCCTTCAAATAATATGGTATGAAAGCCATCTTGTTCACCCCTTCTTCTAATCTTTTGTTTTCAGAATTAATGCTTTCATTTCATGTGCCCTTTCAGGACGATACCAATATAACGACACCATCATCAGCAAGACATAAAAGAGGTTGCAACTGCAAAAAGTCAATGTGTCTGAAAAAATATTGTGAATGTTATCAGGTTGCGTTTGTCATTTGACATGCGTTATTCTTCAAAAATTTCACAACTTTTTTCTGCTGCGCCCGGCCCGCTAATTGCACTTTTGCGTTCAATTTGGAAAAGGCTAATATCTGCTATTTGCACTTTTTTTTTTTTTTCATTTGGAAAAGGCTAATGTCGGATGCTCCAGCGGATGTCGATGCGAGGGATGTAAGAATGTATATGGCAGGAAAGAAGGTAAGATTTTATATTACTATTGTTTGTTAATTCTTAGTGCTCCACAAACTTTTATTTAATTTTTTGTCTCATGAGTAATTTTATTCCCAACTGAGCTAAAGGCTAGAATGCATGATGTTATCATCTGCAATTCACTTTAGAAGGCTATGAATTTATTATGCAGAAAGTCCGAATCTGACTGCCAAGTCAAATGAAATATAACATAAAACATACTTGTCAATCCCCCCCCCCCCAAAGAAAAAAAAAAGCAGTGGGGAGAAAGATCTTTTGAGAAATGCAACTTAGAATGCTGGTTAAAATGGGTCTGTGTCTGTGTATCTCAGATTACGTTGCCATTGAATATGCTTTGAGTGAAGAAAGGAGAAACAGAGCAGAAGAAGGATCAAATGGCACGCTTCACAGTAAGCTGGAAACGGAGGCAAATAAGACGGATTTGTTACACGGAGAGTTGTATGATCTACACTGCCTTTCTCCTCTAACACCGTCTTTGCAATGCTCAGAGTACGATCCCATGCTCTATATATACTTATGGAATGTAAAAACCGTAAGCTTCAATACAAGTCTTCGGCATGTGCCCCCTTTTGGGCTCTCATTCTTGTCATTTTATTTGTATCCAGCCAAGGAAAGCAAGCTGCAAATTTTCGAGCTCCTTCTGGGAAATATCTTCCAGGCACAGGGATGATAAGAAATGCCTCTAATGATCGGCAACAGGATATCAACATGGAAATAATGGATCAATCATCACCAAGATGTAATTCAGTTGCCAAAGTAGGGCAGCTGGCTATTTCTAATTCTCAATCAATGTCTAGTGCTTCATTCTCAACTAAAACAAGAGATCAGACACACATTCCACGTGTTCTATCCGGTGGTTCCCTTCGGTGGCGTAGTTCACCAATCACCCCAATGACTAAATCAGGTGAAACTAAATCTCTCCAATGTCTTGAATCGGGCAGTAGACTTTATGACATTTTAGAAGATGAAACACCTGAGATGTTGAAGGAAGCCTCAACGCCCATTAAGTCTGTGAAAACAAGTTCCCCTAAGCAGAAGAGAGTATCACCTCCTCACAGTCATCTACGTGAACTTGGTTCAAGCTCTTCAGGAGGCTTGAGAAGTGGCAGGAAATTCATATTGAAAGCTGTACCTTCCTTCCCGCCACTGACCCCATGCATTGTTTCGAAAACCAATGATCATGGGAATTCAGAGGATAACAGGCAAGTGACGGACGATCCCAAAAGCTGAAAGGATCTCTCAATGCGAACAAGTTTGGATTATCATCCGATCTGAATCAGAAAGGGTAGTGCTTAAAAAAAATTGTAAAAATAATGATTGATTCGAGAACATTTTTCTTGATCGAAGAAGTGCAGAACCTTGCTTATGATTTATGTAATGTCGTTGGTTGTCTTGCCTCTGCCGGATGCGGGCATGTCAACAAGTGTAATTAGATGGACTTTTAAGCGTCGCATGAACTCTTGTATGCATGTAATTGAATTGAACTTGCTCCAACCAAAATTAAATTGATGAGGATGAGGGGTCGATCTAAAGATTTCAGTATTGGGCATGTAGTAGTAGTAGTAGTAGCAGTTGTTGTTGTTGTTAGTATTATTATTATTATTTTGTAACAAAGGCAAGTCAACGCTTGAAGGAGAGGGCATGTAGTTATTAATAAGTGTAAACGTTGTTGTCATCTTGTTTCAAAATTGTGACACCAATCACTGTAAACAGGTTCGCACCTAACCTATTGGATGAACTTGATCAGACCAACAATTTGTTGTGAAAATAGGTTCCTGGGTAACCTGTTGGATGGACACTTACATGATGAAATGACCTTTTCATTTTGTCAGGCGAGAGCTTTCGCTTGGGATTTCTCTTTTTATTCCATTTCGTTTGCTTCTTTCTTCAAACATACTTTTCCAAGTGAACTTAGACAGAGAAGCTCCACCTTCTCTCTAGTTTTCTGGAGAGAAGGCCTATCTTCTACCCTAGCTCTTTTCTTCATCTCTTTGCTTCTTGTACCATCATTGCTTTTTCTTGATGAATTTAAAATTTGCTCTTGATCCTTACTTCAAGTTCTCTGTATCGCCACACATCAAAGAAGCCATGGATCCTCTTGCTTTCAAAGATGAAATTGATCTATTGAATCGCAATGTGATAAAGTTAAATGATGAAATGGTTACTAAAGTCCAAGACAAAAAGCTATCAATAAACATGCTAAATGAATCAGATGAACATCAAGCTGGAAAAGAAGAGACCTTCATTACTACTTAACCAATGGAAATTCAAGGAGGAAGTCCAGCGAACAAAGACAACACGATCAAAGGAATTCATGCCTTTAAAGCTCCAATATCATACAAAGATTCACTGATAGGCTACAATAGCTGCTATGGAATTAAAGAGGCTAATGATACCTGATACATTAATGATGACCTTGCAAAAGAGTTAGAAAAGAAATGGAATCCATTTGAATCAACAGAGAAACTAATGGATCGCTATTCAATGGTTCCAATCTCAAATGAAGAATGGACAGATATCTACTTACATTGGATGCATGCACTAGTCATTAACACCCCCAGCATTCATCTTCGTTTGAGAATACTCAAACCAATGTTAACTAAAATGTGGAATCTTAAGGACTTTGAATTAATTGACTTAGTCAATAACTATTATATCATGAGAACTAACAATCCTAGAGCTTATAAGCATATTCTGAATGGTGACCATTGGACCATATTTGATCATTGCATTCTAATCCAGAGATGGTCCTTTAATTTCAATCCTATCATAAACTCGTTAGGAAATATTGCTTTCTGGGTTAGGCTTTCAAATGTGCCAATTCAATGTTATGACAAAAACATACTTTGGAGAATAGGGAATTGTATTAGGAAAATTTTAAAATTTGATATCAATACTCTCTTAAAATTAAATTCCAAAGATATCATTGGCAAAACTAAGAGGGGAAAATTTGCCAAGATTAATGAGAAATTGATCTACAAAAGAAGCTTGTTCCGAGATTGCTCATAAGGGATGAACTTTATAACTTGGAATCTGAGAGCTTAAATCTCATCTCTTTTAGTTATGGTTGCTACAGTCATAATAAAAATAATTGTCCTCAGAACCCAAAAAATGCTTAAAAGAATCAAAATGAGAAGGAGTCACAGCAGGGGAAAAAAGAAGATCAAACCAGTTTAAACAATCATTCGAACTCAGATCTCTATAGTTTATCGAAAAAAATTATCAGAAGATGATTATGGTGAATGGAATAAACCTCAAAGACTAATTTACTCATGATACACGATATTTCCAACAGGCAAAAATTTTGAGTCTCCAACAAACATAAACTACAATCAACATCATAGCCGTCTTCACACAGGTCAAGCTACAAATCTCTCTACCAAATCTCGATTTGATTTACTATCTAACCTTAGCTAGGTCAATGGCGATGACTACAGAAGAGGTAGCAGTGAATGCAAATAGCTCAAACCTTTTATGAGCCATCCTAACAACCTTGTCAGGAAAGTATGGAGAAAGAAAGACCTATCTGAGTCTAAGAGAATGAGGCAGAGTGACGCAAATGATAACCTGGTGGAATGATCTTGTGGTAATATGAAGGAATCGACTGAAGGAGTAGATGATCAATCAAACCCCAATAAAGGAAATAAGAAAAAGCAAGTTGGGCCATGGTTCAATTGGGAAGGCCCAAGTTCCCTAAATATTAAAGCAATAAAGGAAAAGGTAGAGCTTAATAACATAACATGCAAGACCATTAAAATAACCTATTTAGAGGTAAAAGGAAATAAAAGGAACTTGGGCTCCTCTTCTCAGCCCATCAACATAAGTATTAAGGATAAGGCCATAAATGCAACACAGCCTATCAGCAAATTTTAGAAAGAGAAAAAGCATCTCACTAATTTGAATGTTTAGAATAATAGCAATAATGATAATGAAAAATTGACACTTAATCAAATATAAAAGAAGCCTCCTAATCTTGACACTTCTCCTTTTGTCATTCTTGAGACACAATTCAGTGATGTCATCATAATGAACAATCAAAACAACAATTTGAGGGACCTAGAAAACATGATCCTTGTTGAGGATGAACACATTGAAGATGAAGACATAGATAATGATCTGTTCGATGAAGACTTAGAAAATAATCCTATTAATGAGGATTTAGAAGATGATGATTTCAGTGATGATCAAATTGAGGAAATGCATTCTGATGCTAACAATTAATTAGCATTATAGGTTTTTTCTTTTATTTTAATTTTTCCATGAATATTATTTTTTAGAATTGTAGAAGTTCTTATGCTAAAAGTTTTCCTTCCAGGGTTAAAGAAATTTCTAATAGCTATAACATCTAAATTTTTATCCTGGTTGAAACTAGAGTTAGTGGTGTTAAAGCTAATAAAAATTGTTAGAAAATTAGGTTTCTCTGATTGGATTCGTGTTGAAGCCAGTGGCTATGTTGGAGGCATTTGGTTGCTTTAGAATAATGATATAGTTAATATTGAATAGTTATACTTTAATGTTTAGCTCCTTCATTGTAAAATCAACATCCTACTTCATAACACTTCCTATCTTTTATCCTGCATTTATGAGGATCCCAACCCTTGTAATTGCATTGAACTTTAGTAATCAATTATCAACCTGTCCAAAAACATTAATAAACCTTAGCTCCTTATTAGTAATTTCAATGCCTACTTATCTTGTGAGGATAAATGTGGTGGTAATGGTTATAATTGGAGGTCGATGAAGCTCTTTAAACAATGCATCAACCTTTCCAATCTCTTTGAGTTTAATTTTATTGGAGAGAGGTTTACTTGGGAGAAAGGCAATGTTAAGGAAAGACTTGACTGGGCTTTTTGTAATATGAAATGGAGATTCTCCTACACTAAAGCCAACAGCTATCATCTTTTTAAATGTGGTTTGAATCATTGGCTGATCCATGTACAACTTGATGATAAATGTGTTACCAAACAACGAGATATGCTAACGTGATTGTTAGAAGACTCCTTCAAAAATATTATAAAAAAATCTTAATATGGTAATGAATGGATAGAAGGGACTTCTACTTTTGCTAAACTTGCTTCCAAATGGAATAAAAATAATTTTGATAGTATTTCTGCAAAAAAAGGAGAATCCTAAGATTAGAAGGGATTGATCATAATAGAAATTTTAAAGATAATTACTTCCTCAAGAAATTGGAAAAATCCCTTTGGAAGGATTATAATAAGGTTTTCCTACAGGAGAAATTGATTTGGTACCAAAAATTTAGATGCAAAGGGTTGAAATGGGGTGATTAAAACACAAAATTCTTTCATGCCACTGCCATTGTAACATCTCAATTTTTAATTCTCTGATTTCCTAAGCTAATTAAGATAATTAAGTAAGTTGACATAATGTGTGGTTAAAGGAGAATAATAAGTATTTTTAGTTAAAATTTCAGGTATAATATAGGTCCAGAATGAAATTGGGTTACTTAGGGACCAAAAAGTGGAGAAAAACAAGCTAAAAAGCATATGTGCCATATGTCGTGGCATGCTGTAGTGCACAGGGCCACAAAATAAGAGCTGCTTTCTCTGTACCACATGTTGCGGTACGTAGGGACAGGCACCGCAACACACAGTGTGAATTTTATGGATATCGGGTGTGAAAATAAGATAAAAATAGAGGAAGAAAGGAAAAAATGAAGAGACACACGAAGCTCTGTTAGGGTTTACTTGTAGATGATATTGAGAGTATTTTGGAGGCTATAAACACTGAACGTAAGTACCACACTCATTAATCTCCCCATTTTTTTTACATTTATAAGTTTATAGTTAGGGTTTGATAGTGAAAGTGAATTTCTAATCCATATGAATTATGGGTCCAAATTTATTGACTCAAATTAAGTTAATAAGAGTAGATTAAAATATCTAAATTTAAGTATAATGAATTTTAGTGTATTGGGTTGTTGGGCACCATCAATATTCAAAAATTTCATTTATTATGGGTGGTTTAAAGATTGTGATGCCATTAATAAGAATTTAATGGTTCATTAATGTTATTGGAGACTAAAGGTAATTAATAAAACCAAGGAATAGGCTCAAACACTTGTAGAGTGAATATTGAGCAATTTAGAATTGAAGATTGAGGGTTTAATGCCTGAGTTGGTAATGTTGATAAAATTCAATTTGATTGATTGTAGTTTTGGCTCTTGATCACCTATTTGATTAGGGAATTCAAGCTTGAAAACTCTTATACTAAGGGGTAAACTTTTGACCTTTCAAAGGTTTGAGATAATTGGGGGAATCCTACTTTAGATAGTTATATGTTAATTGATTGCTAATTGTAAATTGTGATTGTTGCATGCATGGATTCATTTTCAATATGAAAGCATGTATTAGCTTTGAGAAGTGTATGAAAATTTGAATGTGCTTAATGCTATTTTTGGCTTGAAATGTAAAATATGAAAACAAGATGGTTTTGAACTTTGAATATACATATGTATTTGGGAAGATGAATGTGACATTGTGTTGAGGTAAATGTGTGTTAATAAAGAAATGGATTAG